TCTGCTCATCCACACTACCAAGAATCTTACCATTAGCCCAGTACTCTGTATTCCTGTTACTCCTTCCAAAGTGAATCACCTCACACTTTTCCGCATTAAACTCCATTTGCCACCTCTCAGCCCAGCTCTGCAGCTTATCTACGTCCCTCTGTAACCTGCAACATCCTTCCGCACTATCCACAACTCCACCAACTTTGGTGTCATCCGCAAATTTACTAACCCATCCTTCTACGCCCTCATCCAGGTCATTTATGAAAATGACAAACAGCAGTGGCCCCAAAACAGATCCTTGAGGTACACCACTAGTAACTGAACTCCAGGATGAACATTTCCCATCAACCACCACCCTCTGTCTTCTTACAGCTAGCCAATTTCTGATCCAAACCGCTAAATCACCCTCAATCCCATGCCTCCGTATTTTCTGCAATAGCCTACCATGGGGAACCTTATCAAACGCTTTACTGAAATCCATATACACCACATCAACCGCTTTACCCTCATCCACCTGTTTGGTCACCTTCTCAAAGAACTCAATAAGGTTTGTGAGGCACGACCTACCCTTCACAAAACCGTGTTGACTATCCCTAATCAAATTATTCCTTTCTAGATGATTATAAATCCTATCTCTTATAATCCTTTCCAACACTTTACCCACAACCGAAGTAAGGCTCACTGGTCTATAATTATCAGGGTTGTCTCTACTCCCCTTCTTGAACAAGGGGACAACATTTGCTAGTCTCCAGTCTTCTGGCACTATTCCTGAAGACAATGACGACAAGAAACAAGAAACAGCAAAGGACTTGAAAATCAGAAACAGAATGCAACCTTTTTGTGACATAAAGGCATGGAAGTTCTGTGTAGAGGAGAGGCAGCTGTTGCATGTGCAACTGGGTCTGAACCTGGTAGGAAATACAAATCCTCCAAATAAAGCTGACAGACCGTATATGCAGGGTGCAGGCTAGCTATCTGCCCATGTATCTGATGTCTGTGAAAATTTACTCTGGGAATGGCAGAGGGCACTCTGTAATTTTAGAATAGCTCCCAGTCATTCAGATTCTGTGAATATCAGTTCCTTATATCAAGGAATATTTCATACTTAGTCCTGCTTTTCTTTAAGCCAAATCTCTGTTATTGTCCCTACATTATTCTTCTAGGTAGTTATCTGCATCTGGAACTCACCAATGTTATTTATCTCACTCTGTACATTCCCATATGTGCACTGTAATCCTAATTTAGACTTCATTACTTTCCCTGTTGTGTTGAAAACTTCAAATATCTTGTTATTTCCTACTCTAGTATTATCTGCCTCAAATATTCTTTACATCAGGTATTAACCTCCTGGTTCCTACATTCCTGTCAGGTGTCCATAAACCCTCCCCAAAGCACCAGCAAGTCCATCCGTAAGAAAACTGATCCAGGCTCAGTATAGATACGAACCATTCAACCTGTACAGGTCCTATCTCCTCCAAATGGATCCCAATACCTAAAGAACTAAAGACATAGCTCTTGCACCCTCTTTCCAGCATTCATTTGCTTTATACTTCTATTGTTATGTTCACTTCTGCATAATGCTAGGAGCCATCCAGAGATTGCTATTTGTGAGATCTTACTTGCTAATTCCATGCCCTTGTGGCATGGATTTGTGTTTGACTACGCTCCTCAGATAAGTTATGTTCATCAATATTCAGAACTGAGTACCAGTTGGAGACTGAGATACTCTCAGGGTAATCCTGTTCTATCTACTGGGTCTGTCTTGACTATCTGATGGTCATCCAATTCTCTCTCTCCTTACTTACTCCGTCTGTGAAGTGACACATCCATAAACCTGCTTTCCATAAAGTTTTCAATCTAATTGAAAGTTTACTGGGCAGCAAAGAAAGTTATTTCAGAGTACAACAGGATTTTGTTCAGATGGGCCAATGGGCAAAGGAATGGCAGGTGGAACTTATATTAGATAAATGTGAGGTGTTGCATTTTGGAAAGGCAAATCAGGGCAGGACTTATACACCTAATGATAAGGTCCTGGAGAGTGTTGCTGAACAAAGACACCTTGGAGTGCAGGTTCATAATTCCTTGAAAGTGGAATTGCAGGTAGATAGGATAGTGAAGAAGGCATTTGGTACACTTGCCTTTATTGGTCAGTGCATTGAGTGTAGCAGTTGGGAGGTCAAGTTGCAGCTATCCAGGACATTGGTTCCGCTACTTTTGGAATGCTGTGTGCAATTCTGGCCTCCTTGCTATAGGAGGGATGCTGTAAAACTTGAAAGGGTTCAGAAAGGATTTACAAGGATATTGCCAGGGTTGGAGGATTTTAACTATAGGGAGAGGCTGAATAGGCTGGGGCTATTTTCCCTGGAGTGTCAGAGTCTGATGGGTGACCTTCTAGAGGTTTATAACATCGTGAGGGGCATGGATATGGTGAATAGACAAGGTCTTTTACTGGGTTGGGGGAGTCCAAAACTAAAGGGCATAAATTTAAGGTGAGAGGGGAAAGATTTAAAAGGGGCCAAAGGGGGCAACATTTTCACACAGCATGTATGGAATGAGCTGCCAGAGGAAGTGGTGGAAGCTGATACAATTACAGAATTTAAAAGGCATCTGGGCGGGTATATGAATAGGAAGGATTTAGAGGAATACGTGCTGGCAAATGGAACTAGATTTATTTCAGATATCTGGTCGGCGTGGATGTGTTGGACCAAACAGTCTGTTTCCGAGCTGCACAGCTCTAGGACTCTATGACTCTATGATGGATGTGCCACAGGGATGCCATCTACTGGTTCAGTTCTACAACTCAAAGCTTGAACAGTTGATGACACTTCCTGTACATATGGTTATCCAGGACAGGGGAATGTAGTTATATCATTTTCTAATATGGGACAAAGGGATGAATTCATTAAAAATCTGAACAGTAAATTAAAGCAGATTTCACAGTGATGGCACTAACTCACACATGTTTAAGTTTTAAGTTTCACTACTACCTAAACTAACACAATGATCAAGTCAAGCAAGATTATATTTTGCCAAAATTAATGAATATATTAAATTTCAGCGCATGTTGCTTGTGATGATCCTTTTTAAACATTTGGGGACTGCAATTATGTCAAGAGGCAAACCACTTTATCTAAATTTCACTCTTCCCACAGTAGTATCTTCATCAGATTCACTTTATATCTGGTTTTGAAAGAAGGGTAAAAGACAGAAAATATGTATATTACCTCAATGTCCTCTTTATGTTTAAGCAATGGGGCTTCTGTAATATTTTTGAGAGTGAACTGGTCAGATTCAACATCAAAGGTATGGCCTGTGACCTGCGCAATCCTTTCCCAGTGTCTTGACATCATAGCCTATAGAACAAGAAAGTAATGCATAATAAGCATTTGCTTTCCTGTAACAAAGGATAATTGTTGTTAAACCTTCTCAAACATTAATTTCATTTTTTAGTGCAAGTAATAGAATCTGATAAAGGCAAAAGATGAAGGCCATGATTGACACAATATGTAATAGAGATAAAATGCTGGAAATACTCAGTATGTCTGGTATTATCTGCTGAGGGAGAAAGAGTTAATATTTCAGTTCTATGACCTTTCTCCAGAACATTGTAAAATTAGAAATGTAATGGGCTTACAGCAAGTGAAAAGGATGAGGAGAAGGAAAAGTCAGTAAGAGTGTGAAGGAAAGTATAAGCAATCTCTGCTTTTTTGTGACACTTATAGTGGTTCATCTTCTGCATTTGCCAATTGCATTTATGTACACTGACTCTGGTCAAAGTGTAACAGATTCAGTTTGAAAATGTCTTCAATTTCACCCAATTTAATTGTGTCATGCATGGTCTGTTCTGCCACAGTGGGTGTGAAGTTGTGATTATGCAAGATGTGGAGGTGCCGGTGTTGGGCTGGGGTGAACAAGGTCAGAAAATCACACAACACCAGGTTATTGTCCAACAGATTTATTTGAAAACACAAGCTTTTGGAGCTTTGGTCCTTCTTCAAGTGTTAGTGAGAGAGGTAGTATCAGACACAGAATTTATAAGTAAATGATCAAAGGGTCACAACACTGATGAGGATGTACTAAACAAACAAACGATACTGTTAAAACTTTAATCAGTCAGAAGGTTTTAATTGATTAATATGTATATGTAAATCCCTGAATTCCTTTGAAGTCACTGTCCTGAGAGAACTAAAGGTTTTATAATAGTGTACATACTCTAGATTCATCAGTAGTGTGACCCTTTGATCTTTTACTTATAAATTATGTGTCTGATAGTATCTCTCTCACTAACACCTGAAGGAGTAAGACTCTGAAAGCTTGTGTTTTCAAATAAATCTGTTGGACTATAACCTGGCGTCATGTGATTTCTGACATTATACAAGATGCCACTGGTAGTCCTGTCAGTCTGAGTAAAAGATAGTCTTGCATATTGGCACTGCAGTGTGATTGTGCCAATGTACAGAATTGGTGATCCATTATACACTGTGAGATGGCCTCCTATTTGTCCCTACTCGTTGCTTTCTTTTTGTTAAGCAATCCTTGATTCATGCTAATAATCATCAGCCCTTATCTTGTGTACTGCTGTGATTGCTGAGGCCACAAAGTCTCAATAATCAGGCACCTACCCTCAAAGTAAGGCAAATGAGGATGCTGTGTGTGGTCACAGATTTAAATTGGCATAAAACGGCCGAAAAGAGGATTAGCAGTTATATATAGCTGAGGTTCACAGCCAGAATTGTGGTCTCCATACAGAGTTACTGGATAAGATAATGAAAGATCCCATGGGAATCATAATAGGGTCCCAGTGCGAAGAAAAGATGGAGGAATTTAATCAGATTTCTGTAGACAGGCAGCTCTAAACACAAAAGCATTTTGATAAAGAATACCCTTGAAAGAATAAAGAGATACTTAGACAATAAAGAAAATTCCCGCCCTGTCAACCGGGACAGAAACAGCAAATGGTGTAAACATAATCTCTAAAAGAGCATTATAAACCACAGCCATTGTGACTGTGGTGAAATAAACAATTGAAACTTTACAGCCCAGCAAACAGCATAGTACAGCCGTAGATAAAGAGATCCAAAGATCAAGGGAAAGATGGCAAAGACAAATTATAAGATAAGGGTGGCAGTGAGGTTATGTCCTGTTCTACCTTGAGAATCCAAATAAGTTTCTTTAAATGACTTGGTAAAGCTGTGCAAGTGATTGTATTTCACCCTCATCAGTGGAATTCAAATAGATGCTGGCTTATTTAGTAAAGAGATTTTGTTTAGAATAGAAACAGTAAGGTATCCACGAATTAACCTTCTGGTTTAAAACCAATTTACAGCATGCCAATAGCTGAAGTTTTAAATTGCAGCTGCAAGACAGAGAGATAGTATGTTTGATCTCTCAGGATGTAGTTAGACAGAAGCTGCTCCCAGTTTGTTAGCCTTGTTGAAGAACCATAACATTAACTGTGACTATGTAACTTCATATTGGAACTAAAATTGCAAATTTTATAACAGTTGGTAGAAATTAGCATCCTTTTGTATCGTTTATAATTAGGTTAGTAGGGAATATAAATTGCAATACAGAATTTGGAAGAGTTTTTAGTGATAAGTAAGTATCCAATTTATTGGCAATTAATGTGCTGCAGCTGGCAAATGTCTGTGAAGATGCAAAGACAGATGATAAAGATAACTGGTAAATATCACAAGATAGATTTGTCCATCATTGATTGTGTGTATACAGGATTGGATGTATAGATTAGGGGGATGTGGCCACTCACGACATCAATGTTGCATGTAATTATTGTAATGTAAAATGTATAAAATGCTGTGCTTGAGGGAATCAGAGTGTGCTAGAGAGGGATCTCTCCCACGTTGCGTTGGTAAGGAGCTCCAAATAAAGGTTAACTTGTTCTACTAAACACCAGACTCAAGTCTCTTAGAACTTTAATAATTTCTACAGCGTGGAAGCTGTCTATTCGGCCCATCAAGACCACACCGACCTTCCAAAGAGCATCCCACCCAAACCCACCTTATCCTTGTAACCTTGCATTTCTCTTGGCTAATCCACCTAACATACACAACCCTGGAGACTATGGACAATTTAGCATGGCCAATCCACCTAACCTGCACATCTTCGTAATGTGGGAGGAAACCAGAACGCCCAGAAAAAACACACACAGACATGGAGAGAACGTGCAAAATCCACACAGACAGCCACGCAAGGCTTGAATCAAGCCTGGGTCACTGGCACTATGAGGCAGTAGTGCTAACTACCGAGTCACTATGCTACCTTCACCTTTCTTAGATATCTCCCTCCAACACTGGGGCCAGGTGGTAGGCTGCAATGAGTAGGGTGAGGGAAGTGAAGTGCCAGTGCCATGTCACCACAAAGGGAACAATTAACACTAGATCTACTCTGTGCGCTATGAAACGTCCGTAATCGAGGCAACAACCATGGAAATCACTGACGAACCACTGAGTTTCCATAAGTGGTCACCACGTGTGGCACATGTTCCCAAACATGGTCAAATGGCATGAAGTGTCAGAAGAACCTTCATGTGTGCCATGCTTCCTGTGCCATGTTGCCAGCTTCCACACCTTTCAACCTATCACCAAAAAATCCAGAAAATTCCTACCAATGAAAACCAAGGAGATAATATTTATGTGCCCGCTATTGTCCAATTTAGAACAAAATTAGTAGAAGTCTGGCAACATAGCTTGCTGCTATCTTACTCAGAGAATGATGGGGTGGCACGGTGGCTCAGTGGTTAGCCCTGCTGCCTCACAGCGTCTGGGACCTGGGTTTGAGTCCACTGCCAGGCAACTGTCTATGTGAGTTTGCATGTTCTCCCCGTGTCTGTGTGGGTTTCCTCACACAGTCCAAAGATGTGCAGGCTAGGTGGATTGGCCATGCTAAATTGCCTGTAGTATTCAGGGATGTGCAGATTAGGTGGGTTATAGCGGGGTGGGTCTGGGTGGGATGCTCTGAGGGTCAGTGTGGACTTGTTGAGCCAAAGGACTTGTTTCCACATTGTAGGGATTCTATGATCTATGTGAGTGACAAAACATTCTGTAAAATCAGAGAATAAATGTGTTTTCTTCTTTTAAAAACAAGTTATGAATCCTTGAGGAGCTTTGAGTATTCTGAACAGACATAGTTTAAGAAATTACAATCCATAGCCAAACACCTACAAATTTGACAGTTTGTCAACTAGGTAATGAAAGGGAACTGCTCATTTCCATTCTAATAAATTGCAGTGATTAGAGTCATTAACAATGTAAAACTGGATAAAGAATTACAAACTCTGACCTCTTAAGGAATCTGTAAAAGCAATACTGCCCCAAGCTACAAATTCAGTGGCAAGTAGTAAACAAACTAAGTGAATGAGACACAGCTAAAGTCTGGATGAAATTCAAATCCCCTTGAGCTAATTTCATCATGCCAGTGAAGTTAAGAACTTTTTCAATTTAGCTTGAATGACAGAAGATACTGTCACATTAAAAACACTGGAAAAGTAGTTAAAAGCACAACTCCTTAGGAAGATTGAAAAAGAATAGTTTCTAAATGGTGAGATATTACTGATATGTATTGTATTTGTATGTATGTATGTTCTTTTGGCTCCTTTGCACACAGTCTGTGCTTCTTACTCTCCTATCCAACCATCTGAGAGCTAAACTTTGTGTGCATTCATCAGCAAATATCACCACTTTAGATCCTGTGATAAAGAAAGTATTTTTTTCCTGAAGAAGGGTCCCAACCCGAAGTGTCAACTCTCCTGCTCCTCTGATGCTGCCTGGCCTGCTCTGTTCCTCCAGCTCCATACTGTGTTATCTCTGACTCCAACATCTGCAGTTCTTACTATCTCCTAGAAAGAAGTTTAGACTTTTTTTCATACCTAAACGTCCTTTACTACCACTGCCAGCTAAAAAGTTACAAACATAAACAAAGAACACACAGAATCTTTGTAAAGCTATGCTTGTCTTTCAAGTAGAAGGACATTCATTCTAAGGACAACTACATCATGTTCAACAATGTTCCAGTTACCTTAATAGTTTTGAGTTCCTTGAGTGCTACTTTTATGTGATACTACCTGTGATAGAGGCTAGAATAGTTCAACTACAGTATGGAGGCTGCTGAAGGCTCATATCTCAGACCAGCTGTTTTTCTGAAATAGGAGGCACATCAAGCCTCTAAGTCTACACTAAGGCAAGGGAGGTCGGGACTACAGACACAATGGCCTTAAAGATGCTACACGGGCAAGATAGTGATACTTTCAACCATTCTTTCCAGTCTATAGGAACTGAGCAAAGGCTTAGAGATACCATTGATCATGGTCATTACAATAATTCCATCCAGATCTGAGAAGCCCTGTGGAGGTGTAGTATTTAGATTGACCCCATAATTCTACAAAATGGTAATACAATCCCTGCTGATCAATATATTAAATCCTTTGAGATTATTCAAAGAGATCAGCCATTTGTTCAAGTTTTGAAGCTGCCAAACTAGTGTCTAAGTTGACATTCAATGAAATGAGAAAAGTAAATGGAATAAATGACACAATAAGATCTGAATTTCAACATTGTTGAATGCGCTAAACCTCTTTTTGCAGTAGATATTATTCCTTAATACTTTCAAAGATCTTCTCATTTCCATAATGTTGGTTGAATTAATGGTCACTTGTCCTTTAAGAACAAAGCACAATCATCAATTGTGACATAAGAAGCATATTTAATATATCATATAGTATTTCAACACCCTTTGTAACATAACTATTGAAAGGATCCTCACCCCAGAACAGGCATTTCCCTTGGTTCTGTAATATCTGAGCTTGTGTCAACCACATTGTGTTCAGAAGATGGCCCGAATCCAGCAAAATTATATCTGAAATCCATGACCCTACAATGGAGATTCCAACACTGGGACTTGCACCCTACACCTTTATCAAGTCACCCTTATCAACAATGGGAATGGGAGCAGGAATCCCAGAATTGGGCTCCATCAGACATTTTTAACGCCCACCTGACACAGCGTGATCTCACACCAGAAGGGAAAATCCAACCCAATGGTTTCAGCCTTCTGAATAGTTAGCTGCAGGAAATATTTGATCATGTTGTAGTGTTTGTTGGGCATGCAGTGTGACGAATCAAACAAATACAGGAAATGCTGGAGAAATTCAACAGATCTGGCATTATCTGTCCAAAGAGGATCAGAGTTAATGTTTTGAGTCCAAAAGGACTCTTTTTCAGTATCATGTTCAAATACTTTCAATACGACAATTGAACACTTGCTGAGTTTTACCATTTAAACTGAACCACTGCTCTTTTATTCAAATTTAGGACTAAACATTTACTCACTTTGTTTGCCATCATTTCAAGCAATGGACAAGTTTCACTGAAATCATCTATTGTCTTTTTCAAGTCATTGAAAGCTTGCCATTCCTTCAAGGCTTTGGGTAATTTCCGTATTCTATATGAATAAAATAAATTAATTATTTTAAAAATCTAGCAAACAAGATGCTAAGATGAATATTATAGAATATTATATTTGCATATGAAAAATATCATTGTATGAAATGTTAAAATATTATTAGAAATTGTGAAATGAAATATGTTTTAATTGAAACAAATTGCACCACTTATTTCCTATTTTAATTTTCAGTTTTTGAAAGGCCAAATGGTAGAGCAATTATCATGGGCGATTTTAATCTACATATCAATTGGTCAAACCAGGTCGGTCATGGCAGCCTTGAGGAGGGGTTCATAGAATGCATCCGCGATAATTTCCTTGAACAATATGTAATGGAACCTACGAGGGAGCAAGCTATCCTAGATCTAGTCCTGTGTAATGAGACAGGAATAATTAATGATCTCACAGTTAGGGATCCTCTTGGAAGGAGTGATCACAGTATGGTCGAATTTAAAATACAGATGGAGCATGAAAAGACTAAATCCAGTACCTATGTCCTGTGCTTAAACAAAGGAGACTATGAAGGAATGAGGGGGGAGTTAGCTAAGGTAGAATGGGAGCAAAAACTTTATGGTGGGTCAATTGAGGAACAGTGGAGGACTTTCAAAACGATTTTTCACAGTGCTCAGCAGAAGTATATTCCAGTGATAAGGAAGAACTGTAGGAAAAGAGAGAGCCAGCCATGGATGTCTAAGGAAATAAAGGAAAGTATCAGATTGAAAAAAAACACATACAAAAAAGCAAAGGGTAGTGGGAAACTAGTAGACTGGGAAATCTTTAAAGGCCAACAGAAAGCCACAAAAAAAGTTATAAAGAAAACTAAGATAGATTATGAGAGTAAACTAGCTCAGAACATAAAAACAGGCAGCAAAATTTTCTATAAATATGTAAATCATAAAAGAATGGCAAAGGTAAACATTGGTCCTTTAGAGGATGAGAAGGCCAATTTAATAACTGGGAATGAGGAAATAGCCGAGACAGTTAACAGTTATTTCGTGTCAGTCTTCACTGTGGAAGACACAAATAACATACCGAAAACTAATGTCAAGAAGGTTATAGCAGGTGAGGACCTAGAAACTATCATTATCACTAAAGAGGCAGTGCTGGGCAAGCTAATGGGGCTAAAGGTAGACAAGTGTCCTGGCCCTGATGAAATGCATCCCAGGGTACTAAAAGAGGTGATGGGGGAAATAGCAAATGCACTAGTAATTATTTACCAAAATTCACTGGACTCTGGGGTCGTTCCTGCAGATTGGAAAACAGCCACTGTGATGCCACTGTTTAAAAAAGGAAGTAGACAAAAAACAGGTAACTATAGGCCAGTTAGCTTAACTTCGGTAGTGGGGAAAATGCTTGAATCTATCATTAAGGAAGAAATAGCAAGACATCTGGATATAAATTGTCCCATTGGTAACACCCAGCATGGGTTCATGAAGGGTAGGTCATGTTTAACTAATTTGGTGGAATTCTTTGAGGACATTACTTGCATGTTGGACAGTGGGGAACCTGTGGATGTGGTGTATCTGGATTTCCAGAAGGCAGTTGACAAGGTGCCACATCAAAGGCTGCTACATAAGGTAAAGTTGCACGGTATTACAGGTAATGTATTGGCATGGATAGAGGATTGGTTGACCGGTAGAAAGCAAAGAGTAAGGGTAAATGGGTGTTTTTCTGGTTGGCGGTCAGTGGCTAGTGGTGTGCCTCAGGGATCAGTGTTGGGACCGCAATTGTTTACAATTTACATAGATGATTTGGAGTTGGGGACTAAGTGTGGTGTGTCAAAACTTGCAGATGACACTAAGGTGAGTGGTAAAGCAAAGTGTGCAGAAGACACTGAAAGTCTGCAGAGGGATATAGATAGTCTAAGTGAGTGGGCAAAGGTCTGGCAGATGGAGTACAATGTTGATAAGTGTGAGGTCATCCATTTTGGTAGGATTAACAGGAAAATGGACTATGTTTTAAATGTTAAAAAAATGTAGCACGCTGCTGTGCAGAGGGACTTGGGTGTCCTTGTGCATTAATCGCCAAAAGTAGGATTGCAGGTGCAGCAGGTCATTAAAAAGGCAAATGGAATTTTGTCTGCCATTGCTAGAGGGATGGAGTTTAAAAACATCTCTGAGGGATGTTTGGATTTGATGCGGAACAAATGTAGGAAAAAGGCCTAATAAAAACTGAAATAACTGCAGATGCTGTAAACCAGGAACAAAAACAAAGTTGGTGGAAAAGCTCAGCAGGTCTGGCAGCATCTGTGAAGGAAAAGAAGTGTTAACGTTTTGGGTCTGGTGACCCTTCCTCAGTATCATCATTCTCTAACCAAATGTCACATATCTCTATGGCAATGTGCTAGAAATCAGACCCCATTATTCCAGGAGTCACCAACAATGTGAAAATTTAGTTAAACAACTGAATTGCCCAATTTTACCAATTCAGGTTACAAGAATATGCACACCAGATTTTTATTTTTGTAACAAAAAAATCCTTAAAGCAATCAAACAGTTGTGACCAATGGTGAGAAAAACCATGAATTGTTAACTTATAATTCTATAAATTAAACTTCACCCTTCTTTTAAAAGTTCCCATACACATACAAATGTACACATAAACAGACAAGACAAGATACCAATATTTCAGATAGCAGGGAGGATCAAGTACACCAGTGAAGCACAGTTCTGGCACCAATCCAGTTACAATGAGCTGCTTTCCTTCAGATTCCCTCTATTCCCTTCAACTCCAATAATGACATGTGATTGTGGACACATTGATCATCAACCATCTATTCACTGATTTAAGATTCACTCTTATCAGTGTTTAGTCTTCTGCCATTTTCCTTTCAAGAAACGAATTTGCAAAAAGAACGAGTATCTAGCTGCTTAGAAATTTCTTTCCTTGCTACACCACAGGAAGGGAAGAGAGTGATTTAGGTGCTTTCTCTTTCACAGGCTGGATGTTTCTGCTGTATTGGCCGAGTGGAAAATTGTAGCCACTTGCCAGGCACCATCAAAAAGTTATGACCGTTCTAAGCAGTCCTGAACAAACACAACTGGTCCTGTTTGAAAAACCAAACAAAAATCTGTTCAAAATTGCCCTGAACACAAACCCGAGGAGCTGAGGTGTCCAGCATTTTCCCCTATTGCTTAAGTAAGTTAACATTCTAAGCATGTACAAGGGGGAAGCGATGGTGTAGTGGTATTATCGCTGGCCTGTTAATCTAGAGACCCAGATAATTTTCTGGGGACTTGGGTTCAAATCCTGCCATGGCAGATGGTGGAATTTGAATTGAATAAAATCTGGAATTAAGAGTCTAATGATGGCCGTGAAGCCATTGCTGATTGTTGGGAAAAACCCAGCTGGTTCACTAATGTCCTTTAGGGAAGAAAACTGCCATCCTTACCTGGTCTGGCCTACATGTGACTCCAAACCCACAGCAATGTAGTTGATTCTTAACTGCCCTCTGGGCAATTAGGGATGGGTAATAAATGCTGCCTAGCCAGCAATGCCCCCATCCCGTGAATGAATAAAGGAAAAAAACATTGTAAATACTCTGGGATACATTCACTCTGAGATTTGGTAATGCCCTCTTTAAAACTGTAACATCTTCTTTCACCATCCTTTAGTTCAAAGTAGTGTCTTTTCCCATTTTTCAGCCCACAGTCCAAAACACAAGTATTTTTACATCAGTACCCACAGACCTTTTTCTAATGAAGCATGGAGCAAGTGCAAAGCTCTTTCTAACTATGTACCTGCAGAGGTCTGTCAATCAACCTTACAAAGAGTTCCTGAACCATACACACTAAAAATGCTCTTCAACCAAACACGCACATAGCTCTCTCGGTGTCAAAAATATACAGATTACTATCTCATCCAGCATCAAATATCTCTCTAGAAATGCCCAAATCTCAAACACATAAAGAACTCTCTCCAACTTAACATTAGCAGAGTTCCCTGTGACCAAGCACACAGAGTCCTTCAGATAGGGAGCAGAGCAAATACTCTCAGAATATTAATATTAATCACCATATTAATACAGATCTACCTATCATTAGCTATGAAACAACTATAAATTTGATGAATGAGATTACCATTAATAAACACAATGGGCCAAATCTGCACTGCAGGATCATGAACCTGGCACTCAGTGAATTCTGGATCCCACCCCACACATGTGTTATCTCACCCTCTGTTTGTTATTTCTAAACGCAAATGGCCTAATCGGCCAAAAGGTCAGATTAGCACCCAATTACAGGCATGCAGCATTTCCAAAAGGTTATGGCTGTTGCCTGGAACCAGCAGCTGCCATGAGACTAGAGATGAAACAGCCATGAACGAGAAATGTAGGAGCAGCATTCATTCCAGAATTTGCTGAAGGCACAGATTAAAGCTAAAATCTAATGCTTGGCAATTTACCAGGGCTCTATGATGAATCTGACAGGTCTGCACAATGTTGCTTGGGATTGTAGAAGCTTACCGAAAATTTCCAACTTTGAACTGACAATGTTCACCTTGTTGCAAAGTTGGGGAGAATATTTGTGGATTGGGAGGCAGGGTGTTAGAATGTGGTGCTTGTCAAATATTGTTGTTTGTAAAATGCTAGGCAGGGGGAAGCATTGTGTGGTCCCTTTAAAAGATTGTGCTTTTTCGATGCTTGCAATTGTCTGTGAGCAGCTTGAAAGTTTGCAAGAACAGAGAGCACTCTTAATTGAAATATTTGTATTGAAAGGCTGTACTGCTAGCAGGCCAAGCGGTACTTTTACCAAGACAATAGGGGTTTTTAAATTTAGCCAATTAATTTGAACCAGGCACTTAAATACCAAAATATCTGTCAAATTTGAATCTGTGGTTTTGACAACCTAGGGACAATCCAATTGTAAGAAATTGATATGTCATTAGGGGTATAAAAGAAGGGGCTGAATGAAAATCAGGAGAACTAACTGCCATCTGCTAGAGTCAACAGCTGTCAGCTCTTAGAGAAAGCACCATCTATTCACAACGCTACAACGGCACTCCTATCTAAGATTCCTGACAGAAGAATTCGCAGAGAAAGCATTCTTGACAGAAGAATTAACAGAGAAGACTCAGGCATTCTGGAAGACAAAATCTGGCTGTAAATTTGAGAGACTAAATTCTTTTCTTATATAGATGGGATTTGTATTTATTGGAATGGCATACCATTAGAATCTTGCGTTATTTGAGAGTAGTTAGTAGTTAAAAGAGATTTGTTAATAGTTTAGTTAATTTGTTCACTGTTAGGGTTAGATAAATAAATTGTTACTTGTTGATTGTGAAGTGAGTATCAGGGATTTATTTGATTTAACCACTAGATGTTGCTGAAAGACAGATTACACCCCTTTTCACACTCCTGTTACCAGAGTATAGAGTGAGATGTTCCTCTTTGGATGTTTTGGTTTTGATCTTCAGAGGGGGATCAACCTTGGCTTTGTAACAGATTGGGAGCTCGTCCGGGATCTGGCCAGTTTGGGTTCAGGATTTGGAAAGGTTGGGACAGATCTGTCCGGGATTTGGACGGATTCGATGGATTTGGACAGTTCTGGAGGAATCTGGATGGATTTGAACGTATTTAGGGTACGAAAGGTCCTAGCAGATTTAAACAGACTTGGGGACTAGTGTCCTATATCTTTAATTAAACTTTGGTTAGACATGGAAAATCTAATAATTTTAATTGCTTGTTGTTGGTTAAATCATAAGTGAGGTAATGGCTGTTTCAGTCACCAATAGTTTTTTGGGGGTGGGAGAAACGACTTTGGGGGTTTTGCAAAAAGTGAGCAAGGAAAAGCTGCTGTAATTGGCAGACAAACTGGAGCTGGGGTTGCCTTTGTCTGTGAGAAAAGAAGAGGTAATTACAGCAATAGCTTGACATTTAAATTTGCTGGAAATGCCATCAGTATCTTTGGAAATGGTTAGAATTCAATTGCAGATGAAGCAGCTCGAACAGGAAAGGCAACTGAAACTGTTTGAATTACAGTTACAAGCAGAGGAAAGACAGAAAGAGGAAAAGAGAGATTTTGAACTTTGAAAGTTATAAATTACACAGGATAGCCAACTTAAAATGATGAAAATGAAGGTAGACGATAGGCTTAGTGCGGTGATGATGAGCAAACCCATTGTAGCCAAAGACCTTGTGGGGATATATACAAATATGTCAAAACATTACCAAAATTCGATGAAAGACTTCAACTTTGTAGATAAGGTTTACTTAGGTAGAATGGGGGAGTAGGTAAAGAAGTTAAAATATTGAGAGATACGGGAGCTGGTCATCTCTAATTGTAAGAGATGAAAATATTTGCATTCTTTCTGAAATATTGCCCGAGAGAGTGATAATCTGTGGAATAAATGGAGAGAGAATTAGTGTGTAAGATAAGGCTAGAAAGTCCAATTAAGACTGGGGAAGTGATATTGGGAGTGATGGAAAAACTGGCTATTCCAGGAATACAGTTTATTCTTGGAAACAATATAGATGGATAACAGGTGGGAGTGATGCCCATTGTAATGGAAAAAACCAAAAGTAAACCAGGGAACTGAGGAGTTAAAAGAAAAATGCCTTGGAATTTTTCTGGACTATATGGTGACAAGATCCCAGAGACACAAGTTAAAACAAGAAGGGAAAACAAAAGAGAAAGATGAAGGAGTTAAGGTCCAATTAGCTGGCACTCTGTTTGATGAGATAGTAAAGGAAAAACCTAAGCAGGTAGACGATGGGGCAGAGGTGTTTAGTTCTGAAAGATTAATAGAGTTACAACAAAAAGATAAGACGATAAAGGATTGATATCATAAAACCTACTCAGAAAAGGAATCTGAATGTATTCCAGGATGCTTTTGCCTTAAGAAAAAAATCTTAAGGCGGAATTGGAGACTTGGTAGGTTAGCGCAGATGAGAAATGGGTGGGAGTTCACCAGATTGTGCTCCCGGTAGCATACAGACAGGAAGTATTGTAGGTAGTACATGAGTTATCTGTAGGAGGTCATCTAGGAGTGAGGACGACTCAGGCCAAGATACAGAAGCATTTCTATTGGCCTGAATTAAATAAAGATGTGGTTGAATTTTGCTGCAGCTGTCATTCATGTCAGCTGGTAGGAAAGCCACAGGCAGTCATAAAACCAGTGACTTTGATGCCAATTCCTGCAATTAAAGAACCTTTTATGCGTGTAATACCTGATTGTGTAGGTCTCCTCCCTAAAACCAAAAGTGAGAATCAGTATTTGCTAACCATAATGGGTGTGTCTACCGGGTTTCTGGGGGCAATTCCATTAAGGAATGTCAAGGCAAAAAAGGTTGTGGAGGAGTTGCTTCCTTTCTTTACCCATTATAGACTACCCAGCGGGGAGATTCAGTCAGACCAAGGGCCCAATTTTACTGCCAAATTACTTAAGGAGGTCATGGTTAGTTTAGGCATCAAGCACTTTAAATCAAATGTGTACCATTCTGAATCCAGGGAGCGTTGGAAAGGTGGCATCAGACTCTAAAGACCATGCTGAGGGCTTATTGCCAGGATTACCCAAATGATTGGGATAAAGGTTTCCCATTTATTATTTGCTTTTAGAGATGCTCCAAATGAATCAAATCAGTTTACTCCATTTGAATTGATATTCGGACACAAAGTAAGACAGCCTTTAAAATTAGTTAAGGAAATATTGGGTCTGAAGTCAGAAATCTCACAGTCGGACTATATATCTGAAGTGAGAGAAAGATTAAACAGAGTAGGTGAATTAGCTAGACAACATTGAAGGTGGCACAGCACATAATGAAGCAAGAAGCAGATAAGAAATCTAAAATTCGTACATTTCCCATGGGGATAAAGCATTGCTGCTGTTACCAGCAGTAGGAGATCCCTTCAAAGCAAGGTTTAGTGGTCCCTATCAGATTGAGAAGAAGTTAAGTCAGGTCAATTATCTGGTAAAGATGCCAGAAGGGAAAAAATTTTATCAGGTATGTCATGGGAACATGCTGCAACATTAGTATGACAGGGAAAGGGAACAGGAGGAACAGCTATTAGTCACTGCTATACAGAGTGCGGAATCAAATCCAGAGGATTTGGATTTTGATGTGTCTCAGAATAAATTTAATAATGAGGAAGTCCTTAAGGAATGGGATAGGCTAGTGAGCTTTCTATCCCAGGAACAGAGAATTGAATTGAAAGACTTATTACAGTGCTCTGAGGACCCATGTAGAAATAGAATGGGGAGGACTAACACAATATTGCATGAGGTTGATGTAGTGAATGCTATTCCAATAAAACAACACCCCTACAGGCTTAAGCCTTTCAAAGCAGCGCAGATTCAAAAGTAAGTGGAAGCGATATTCCAAGAAGACATCATAGAGACGAGTCAAAGTGAGTGGAGTTTGCCGATCATGTTGGTTCTCAAACGTGATGGTAATCAAAGATTCTGCGTAGATTATCGGAAGGTCAACACCATGACCAAATCTGACTAACACCCAATTCCAAGGCTGGAGGACTGTGTGGAAAAAGTAGGACGTGCCATCTATTCACAGCGGTAGGATGGCACTTCTAGCTAAGATTCCTGACAGAAGAATTCACAGAAAGAGCATTCCTGACTGAAGAATCGACGGAGAAGACACAGAACATTCCAAAGGACATAACCTGGCTGTAATTTTGAGAGACTAAATTCTATTTTGTTCATATAAGTGGGATTTGTATTTATTGGAACAGCATACCATCAGAATCTTGTTTTATTCTGGAAGAGTTAGTAGTTAGAAGGGATTTATTTGGTTTGTTAATAGTTTAGTTAATTTGTTCACTGTTAGAGTTAGATAAATAAATTGTTACCTGTTGATTGTAAAGTGTGTGTATTTGATTTAACCAGTAGAAGTTGCTGAAAGACGGCACTTCACACACTTTTTAACAGATTATGTGGCAAGGAGCTCCTCTTTGGGTGTTCCAGTTAGAGGAGGGGGTCAACCTCCACTTTAACTCCTTAACAAGCTTAAGGAACCATGAATTGGAGGTGAATGTACTTGCCTCTCACTTCTCCTGTCTGTTCTTTAACAATACCAAACTGTCCCGGAGGCAGTGAACCCTCAAAACAACTTCAGAAACAATTGCTTTTAATTCTCTCCCATGCTGAATCCCAATTCTTGGCCCATTGAAAATCCCGGCCAAATATATTCTTCTTCAGGCATTGTAAATCTGTGGTCAGGATGGTGACCCTTTGTTGTTACAAATCACTGGCTGATTCACCATGAGCAACACCAATGGAGAGGTGGAACTTAAGGTGAGGTAAACGCTGTGTAAATTTACCAACCTGTTCTGAAAATCCAGAAGTTCATTATTGATTTTTTCAATATCCAATTCACTCCATAAAATGTCGTTGTAACCATTGACGTTTTCAATCACCGAATCATAAAGACCATACAATTTCTGAAGTAAAGCCAGTTCCCGCTTGATTCTCAGCAAGTCAGGATATTCTATGTCATAAAACAAGAAAATACATATCTTATTCCCAAAAAGGAATATTTCATAAGCATACTTTTTGTGTATTTACACTTAAATATTTTAGCATAAGTGCTGTCCTATCATATGTAGAGCATAAAATACAGTACCATTTTAAAGAAGATATTTTATGCAATTATAGCACAAGATGTTGTGCATTCTAAACTGTAAAACAAACTAAATGAGAAAAGCTGTTTGCGATGCAATGGTAATGCCCTACTTCTGAGACATCAGGCTCAAGTTCAAATCCCATCTGCTCCAAATGTGCATTGTAACATCTCTGAGTAGCTTGATTAAAACAAAAATGACTAAAAACTAAACAAATGACAAAGTAATAACAGATCCTAGTATTAGTTATAGACAGACAACTGTTACCAATAACAGGTAGCCCAAAAAGCTCTGCTCCTCCAGAATAAGTGTTGAATTTTCTCCAGAGTTCATCAAAGCTTGCCTGGAAGATCTGTAGCCCGTCACTCGCTTCTCTTGGTGAAAGCCCTTCAGCACTAGGGCCTCTGAGGTGAGCAATCATACAATAACACAAGTTACTGCACTTTTTCAGCAATTTCTATATTCCACTCTCAATATTTTGGACAATAAATGGATTAACATACTATTCAGGAAGTTATGGCCTTCACATTCTTTATTTTTAAGCATGATTTTACAATTTGAAGATAAATCAATCATTTATTATGGTTGGTCAGTCCATTGTTCAATTGTACAGGTCCTTAAAAGGGATCTCCAGTAAATCTCACCAACCTGACAGGAATGGTCTGTAAGTACCTAATGCATTGTGACTTAAATACTCACCAAAGATTTTGATAGACACGGGCTGGTATCAATAGATAATAGGTAGGTTAATTGAGTGGGCAAAGATATGGCAAATACAGCATAATGTAGGAAAGTGAGACATTGTCCATTTTGGCAGGAAGGACAAAAATGAAGGCTATTGACTAAATGATGAGAGATTGCAAAAAGCTAATAGAATACTATCATGTTATCATAAGTGCCATTTAATGCAAAATTAGGGAGGTTATCCTTCAGTTATACAGAACACTAGTGAGACTGCAAATGGTGCACAGTATTGGTCACCTTCTTTAAGGAAAGATGTTAATATGTTGGGGGCAGTTCAGAGAAGGGTTACTGGACTAATACCTGAAAAGAGATTATCTTATGTGGAAAGACTGGACAGGCTTAGCTTGTATTTGCCCAGAGTTTAGAAGAGTAAGAAGTGATTTGATTGAAACATAAAATCCTGAGCAGGCTTAGCAAAGTGCATGTGAAGAGGATCTTTCTTCTTATGGAAGAATCTAGAACTGGGGTCACTGGTTAAAAGTCAGGGGTGACTCAATTAAAACAGAGATGAAGCATGAAGCAGAGATAGTAGGAACTGCTGATGCTGGCGAATCTGAGACAACAAGGTGTAGAGCTGGATGAACACAGCAGGCCAAGCAGCATCACAGGAGCAGGAAAGCTGACGTTTTGGGTCTAGACTCTTCTTCAGAAAAGAAGGGTATGTATGTATGCAGCACTTGTCTCTGGATGTAGTTGGTCCTGGATGAAAAACCCAACACTACAGGGGCCCAGGAGAAGATAGAGATGAGACTTATGAGAATGATACCAGAAATGCACATTTAGACTTCATATAATCCCTAAAGTGTGGAAACAGGCCCTTTGGCCCAACAAGTCCACACCAGACCTCAGAAATCCCACCCAGACCCATCCCATCTACATATCCCTGAACAGTATGGGCAATTTAGCATGGCCAATCCACCTAGCCTGCACATCTTTGGACAGTGGGAGGAAACTGGAGCACTTGGAGGAAACCCACACAGACATGGGGAGAATGTGTAAACTCCACACAGACAGTCGCCTGAGGCTGGAATTGAACCTGGGTCCCTGGTGCTGTGAGGCAGCAGTGCTAACCACTGAGCCACCATGTCGCCCCATTTATACTTATCAGGAAAAGATTAACAGGCCAGGACTCTTCTGTCTTGAATAAGAGGATTTGTTTAAAGAGATAACACAGTGTGGAGCTGGAGGAACACAGCAGGCCAGGCAGCATCAGAGGAACAGGGTTTCTGAAGAAGGGACCCGACCCGAAACGTCAGCTTTCCTGCTCCTCTGATGTTGCCTGACCTGCTGCGTTCTTCCAGCTCCACACTGTGTTATCTCAGACTCCAGCATCTGCAGTTCTTACTATCTCTTTGTTTAAATAGATTTGATTAAAACTACGAAAAGGTTAGATAGAGCAGACATAGAGAGAATGGTCTTCAATACAAGTTTGTCACCAAGAAATCCAATAGGAAATTCGTAGAGTATGGAACACACTTCTACAGGGAGTGGGTTAAATAGATAAGCTGGGGACATTGAAGGGGAAATTTACAAGCACCACAGCACACTATATGTTGGAACTGTTGAGTGACACACTGTAATTTCAGGACTTCCGAGCCCATTTGTGCATGCCTGACATTTCAGAAGTTGTGGTTAACTTCAGAGGGGTAATGACAACCAATGTTAATAATTTGCCATCACTTCCCTTGCAAAATTCTGTGCATTGTTTATTAGTTTTCCAGGTATTAACAATAAGGCCACACAATGGGGCATGGAAAAAACAATTAATTCATTATTTCAAACCTCTTAGAAACATCCACCTCTTAGCTGCATGCTCTATTCTCTTGAGCCAGCATGGAGTGGTTGTTAGTAATCCACTTTAGCTCATGTTGCTTATTTCTTGGAGCATATTACTAAAAAAGGAAAATATTTAGGGCCAGTTTACCTAGCCCACATGGTCAGAAGTAACAGAAAGAGAAGAAAACCCCATGTTCAAAGACCATCAACAAAGCCTGAGAGGTTTACTACTGTCAACAAGATTTGAGTAAGCTTTTAGACTCCTTCAATCTTGAGACAAAGTAAAATCAAATGCTGCCATCTCGATCAGTAGTTGGGACAATGCTGCTTATTTATTATTTTCCTGGATTGGTAAAGAGCTTGATGCCACGTCATTTCTGAACATAGCTGCTAAGCTATGCATTGACTTGATGGCTCTAAAGCAGTCAATCTTTCACATCTTGCTTCAATAAATTGCTTTCAGTTTACTTTTACTGAAACATTAGGGAAATGTGTGTGAGTCACATATTAACGTCTAGATATGCAATTCAGATTACAAAGCTGAATTGTCCAATTATTTCATTCAGTTTCTTTGCCATTTAATGAGATATTGTGAGGGCCAAGCATGTTTCTTACTCCAAGGCACAGGAGTTGCTTAGAGAGTGACACATTCTGATATCCCGAATAGCCTATATCTTTAAAAATGGGGACAGGCCTCTGCCTCAACCTATGTTGCTGATACAGATTGGGGCCATAAGGAAGTCCTAATGTAAGAACATCTCCAGTGATTACCAGGGAAATTTAAACTCACGGACGCCCATTTTACCTTGCTTAGGCTCATCCCTGATTGGCTAAAACCATGCAGTCTTGGGCTGTTTGCCCTAAACACACCCTGGTTTTTAGACAGATTTAATTTGAGATTTTTATTCCTGGTCTAAGGCCTGCTGAGCAGTGTGATTCTATGTATACCAGCTGCAGAGTCAAAACAATTCATTCAGTATCTCTTGACAGTGTTCAGTCCTTCCCTCATTAATGTTCATTGCCTCTTGGCAAAGTTATCCTCCCCCGACAGCAATGTTAAACCCCAACCCCCACTCATAGACAATGCTCACAATAATCCTGCCCCCTAGCAATCTGCATCCTCTCCCTCTCTCCCTCTCCCACTCAACTCCTGGAATCCGTAGCTTCAGTCCAGCCAATGTCAGAAGAATCAATTTTGTTGGGGTGCTGGAGGTGGCGGTAGTGGCGGGAGGTGGTAGGGGTGGGGGGGAGGGACGAGGGCATATTTTTGAAGTGGGAGGGAATGAGAGCATGAGAGAGGGGTGAACATGAGGGAGGGTGTTAATCATTTGAGGGTACTGCTGGAAAGGGTAGTGAACACTGTCTTAGGGGGTTAAGGAGGAGAGGTAAACACTGTCTGGAGAAATTAGCTTTTGGGGGAGTGAATACCCGTTGAATGGGGGGGAGTTTAGGAAGAGGGGATGAACACTGCTTTGTGGGGGTATTAGGTAAGGTATTGAATATTGTTTGAGAAGGTAGGGAGTATGATGAACAAAGTCTGGGCAAATTATTGGGAATGAAACTTTTTTTGGGGTTGTTACAGAAGGCTGGTTTGAGTGAATACTTGGAGTGGGGGGCGGGGGGGGGGGTGGTGTATAATAGGGTAGGATGACCCTTTGGGGGTTTAGGGAGGGGATATACACTATTTGGAGGGATAAGGAGGAGAATGAACTCTGTCAGCATGTGAGGGGCCCTAGCATTGTCAGGTAAGGAAGGTTGTACTGTGTTGGGGTTGACAGCTCCATTTAAAACAATGTAGTTCAATGAACTAAAGAGAGACATGACTTCATGACAAGAAAAAAGGGCATGACTACATTGGAATTACAATAAACAATTTGCTTCCAACTGTATTCAACTTTGCATCCCTGCTGGTTCAAGTATTAGAAGATTGAGAGGTTCCAGTGTAAAATCGTAAGAGCACAAATTGTGGTCTGTGTCAGATGGTCTCTCTTCCTTTGATTCCGTCTATAATTCCCACTGCCTCAGGAAAGCAGCCAACATGATCAAAGACAACTCGGTTATACTCTCTTCCACCCTCTTCCGTTAGGCAGAAGATACAAAAGTTTGAAAACACATAACAAAGGATTCAAGAACACTTCTTCCCTGCTGTTCTCAGGCTTATGAACAGACCTCTCATATATTAGAGTCGATCTTTCTCTGCACCTTCTCTGTAGCTGTCACACTATATTCTGCATTCTGTTCTCTTACTTTGATGTATTTATATAAGGTATGATTTATCTGGACAGCATGTGAAACAATACTTTTTTACTGTATCTCTATACATGCGACAATAATAAATCAAATCAAATCTAAATCTGAGCCTAAAGCTAGGACGGATTCAAAATTTGTAACTCTTTTACACAGGAAATGTTATTTTAGATGCTTCCTGCCAAAAAAACACAGTATCAGAAACTGCGTCATGCAGTTTGCTGATATCAAATGAAGAGATCTCACCAGCCTTGTCCCCCAGTGCTGTTGATCAGACAACCCTTAGGGAGTTGATGTGATCTTTTTAACAGTGCCTTTGAACTTGTGCTATGACTACAGTAATACTTGAAAGCGACTCATTGGAAAGAAAAAGAATGCTTATGATCAGTTTATCAAAAAAAGCTCAATTAATTGTCCTCCACCTCCCAGGTCTCCCTCATTTATGCAGCAGATGTCTGACATTTCCTGTTAATCCATTAAAACAGGAAATTGGTGCAATATGCAAGAGGTCAGTTATTTTAAATTGAGTTTTTTTGTTACAGTGTTTTTTACATTACACGATGTTGTCCTGCTCCGTTTTACGTGAAGATTTCCACCAGCACTTACTTTGTATCATAGTCCTGGTAAAAATTCTGAACATCAGTTTGGAAGATTTTCACTCTTTCCAGCAGATCCATCTTCATTGTAGGCTCCACTTTTAAAAGTATACTCTGTGTCTCTACAACCTGTCAAATAGAGTTTTGGATAGTTAGACAAAGCTGCAAAGTGACAGACATAAAACACGAGTGTTAGTTAATAATGATGATCCTATATGAAGAATGAATCTTAATATCTTCATCTTTGTTATGACTGCCAGTAAACTTACTTGATGTCATCTTTCAGTTTATTAGAAGGCATAGGTTTACGGTGAGAGAGGAAAGATTTAAAAGGGACCTAAAGAGGCAATGTTTTCAAGCGAAGCGTGGTGCATGTAGGGAATGAGCTGCCAGAGGAACTGGTGGAGGCTGATACAGTTACAACCTTTAAAATGCGTCTGATTAGGTACATGAATAGGAAGGGTTTAGAGGGATATGGGTGAAATGCTAGAAAATGGGACTACACTAATTAGGATATCTAGTTGTCATGGACGAGTTGGGCCAAAGGGTCTGTTTCTGTGCTGTACATCTCTATGACTCTATTTTGCAGTTCTGTTCTTGCAGTGTTCTTGTCGTGAATGCTAATCCCAGGATTAACAATTCTTGCCAAAATGATACACCATTTTATAGAAATTTGGGAGTCATCTTGTGTATTGATTAAATGTGAATGCTTTTGTTTGAAAACAAACTCCAGTTTTCATCAGAAATTTACATTTATTTTAATGAGATATTTTAATTTTGATTTGTCATTTATTTCACAACAGAAGCTAAAATCCTAATAAATATTTCAAAGGACATAACAGAACAATAATCTACAATTTGAAAGGAAAAATTCAGCATTAAAAATGCTTGTCATTGTGTGAAAGTTTTTCCTTGATGTGGAGTGAACATTTGAATCATGCTGTGTGTAATATTTCATTTGTCCTACTGAACTGTTTTACAAGTGGTTTCAAGCATTTTGGTGTTCCCTCTCTTCCTAATAGAACTATTCAACTTATACTGAAGCACTTTTATCAACAGGAGGTTAAAAATAAGACAGCTTATTGGACAGCCCCTGAAAATAAACTTAGGGAGTGCATGTGTCACACATGGATCCTTCCAACTACTTATTGCGTGGGCAGCTATGCGAGGTAAAGTGAAACAACATCACTGATGTCAAATCAGCATTAGGCAGCAGCAGTGAATGAGCTGTTCAGTACTGGGAGTTCAAATGCCATTGGGTCCTTCTCGCATGATTAGCAACTACGCACAAGGGTCTGTTTAGAATCTAGCAGTGCCTCATCCATCACCAAAACCAACTATACTAAAACATTTTTGTTTGAATAAACAGGGTGGGAAATGTAAACCATTTTATTTCATACTCTCTGAAAAGGGAGAGGTGAAAATAATCTCCATCCTCCAACGCTGGTTCCCACAACTGCTAATCCATTTACAACTGGGGATAAAAGTAAAGCAATATACTTCAGCAGGGATACTGTGGTGTACTTTGTAATTTCACTCAACTATGAATCTATAGAGAAAGGTGAATCGTCTAGGTATGGGGCCACTAACTTTCCCTCTCTTCCATTGCAGGTCCAAAACCTTTACAGAACCCTGGATGAACACTGGGAGAGGAAAAGCAGTACGGAAGACAAAGCATTCCTTCACTCAACATTATTCTTGCAGGCCCCAGCACTGCCACAGCAAAACATGTAGTTCACCGGCTCTGCAGGGGGAGATGAGTCCAGGTATCTTTGGTGGCTGAGAAAGAAGAACATTCATGGTTGTATAACAGGAGCCTCCAGGTGCATTTATTTGCAAGAAAGCCTACACACAGTTCCTTCACTATCGCTGGGTAAAAATCCTAACGCCCTCACTAATAGCATTGTGGGGTACCTACACCAAATGAATTGTAGCTGTTCAAGAAGGCAGCTCATCACCATATTCTCCAAGGCAACTAGGAATGGGCAATAAATGTGAATGTTGTCACTTGACTAGTAATCCACAGCTCTAGACTAAAGCTCTGGAAAATGTATCCAGATCCCAATAAGGCAGCTGATGAAGTATAAATCCAATGAATACATCTCCAATATAAAACTAGTATGCCTACCGGTGACCGTGAAATAATTGTTGAATCCATTTGATTCACTGATGTCATTTACAAAAGGAAATTTGCCACCCTTATCTGGTCTGGCCTGTATCTGATTCCAGACCCACAGCAATGTTGCTAACTCTTAATTGCCTTCTTTTCTAACTGCTGACAAAGCTTGAAACAGCAGAAGAATATTTGGGAATCAAAACACTACAAAGTCTAAAAGCAGTGAAAACTCACTTCCTAACACCACTGTTGTTTTAGCCACACAAAACAGACTGTGGCCATTCAAGAAAGAAAGGTCTAGAGGTGACTCCAAACCCACAACAATGTCTCTTAACTGCCATCTGAGCAATTAGGGATACAAAATGATGCTGGCCTAACCAGTGATGAATACATCCCATGAATAAACACAAGAAAGTATATCTACTGAAAAAAAGTGTGCTATTTCCTATAAAGTGTGTTTTTTTTAGATTTGATTAAAAAAAAAAATATTCCATTCTATGATTTAAAGTAAAAGCTGCACACAAAGACAAGCGTTTCATTAATAATGACAACTATTAATTGTGTGGAGCTGGAGGGACACAGCAGGCCAGGCAGCATCAGGGGTGCAGAAAATTTGACGTTTCATGTCAGGAGAAGGGTTCCTGACCCATAACGTCAACTTTCCTGCTCCTCTGATGCTGCTTGGCCTGCTGCGTTCCTCCAGCTCCACACTGTGTTGTCTCTGACTCCAGCATCTGTAGTTCTTGCTATCTCCAACTGCTTCATTAAAAGTGTTTTTAATACTTCGTTATAATAAACATCTTAAAACATTAAATCTTCTTATGTCTTCCTTTCATCTGTTCACTGGAAGTTTGAACTTCCTTTTTAATGATTATTAGCCTTTGTGAGATCGTAACAATGAGTTCGGAGATATGATCTCTAACACATGGCTATTATTTGATTCTCTACAGCTTTGCCTCCAAAAGAGCGAGCCCTTGAAATCACTTGGAGAGGAAGAAATGTGTTGAGTTTATAGACACAAAGGAAGAGGACAAGGTGGGGAGCCGACAATAACTGCCCCAGTTCCAGTTCAGGTAGTAAATAATTACATGAAAGGGGTAGGCAGTCGAAGGAATAGGATAAAGTTGAGGTCTAAAGAATAGCTGATCAGCATTTCTACCTGTATACAAGGCTGATCTGCTTCACTTTGCCAATGGGATGGGTGCGTTATAATTCCCTCATCTATCTACCCTTTTCATATCTCTCTCTCTCTCTCTCTCTCTCTGGACTCTGTCTCTACCTATCTGTACACCTCTCCCTCCATCCACCCATCCACCCATCCACCCACCTCAAAGTCATCTTCAGCATGAATACCACTTCTTCCTAGCTGCTATCAGTTCTGATGAAGAGTCACTGGACTCAAAACTTTAACTTGGCTTTCTTTCCAAAGCTGCTGCCACTTCTGAATTTCGCCAACACTTACAGTTTTTGTTTTGGTTTTCCAGCATCTGCAGTTTTTTTGTTTTCTTTTAGCATAGGGCATATAACTCCCTTTAGTGCAGTTTAAAATTAAAGGCACAGTTGCAAAATATAAGAATCTTATAAAATCTCATAACTGTATTGTCCAAATGGATTATTATGACGCTTAAAAGGACTAATGACAGCTCAAAAAGCAATCTTATGGACTCATGATACTATGGGTTCTGTGCTTACATGCCTGTCAGCAGATAAGACCTATTTATAAGGTTTATCAGCTGAAATTGCCCAGCATTTTGAAGACTGGGTACTATATCCCTCTCATGTGAAGTGAAATTAGGAAACACTTCTTCAAGCAATGGATGATAGATGTTTGGAAACCTTTTCTGGAAAAAAATCCTGCAAATGCATCAGTTTGCTAATTTTAAACTGGAGATCGATCACTTTTTCTAAACCAACGATTTGACATACAATGGAGTTAGGTCAAATATCAGTCATGATCTCATTGAATGGTAGAACAAGTCTAATGGCCTTAGACCTATTCCTGTGCCTATGGAACAGTTGCATTGCAAGCTCTTACAGGAATGTAAGACTGTTGACAACAGTTTGAAGTTGCTATTGTCTCATTAGAACAATGTGAAGGTAGTGAAAATCGATAGTGGTGTTTAAAACTACAAGTGATTTTCCAAAATTAACCTTAGCATTGGTTAATGTAGCATGATCTAATTTGCAGTTGAATGTCCTTCAGACACACCTCAACATTCAATTGATTTATTTAATAACTACCTCAACTAGCCAGATACGTTCAATGCATGATAACTGATCATACCCAAAATCTTCTTTTTCTTAGATCGCTCCTTTTTGTAGTACAAACATTTACTGTTATCTGTAACCATGTGCACAACCCCACACTTAATCATGTTAAAATCCATCTGTCATATATGAACCCATTGGCGAATTCTTCTTTCTTTTTGCTACTTGACAAAATTTTTTTTGTCCTTACTACGCATGGAAAGGAGAAGAATATTTTTTGTTCATTTGCGGGCTGAGGGTATCACTGGCTAGGCAGCTTTTATCACCTACTGATAATTCCCCACAGGGCAGTTAAGAGTCAATCACCTTGCTGTGGGTTTGAAGTCACATGTAGACCAGGTAAGATGGCAGTTTCTTTCTAAGGACATTATGAACCAAATGGGTTTTTCTAACAATTGACAATGGATTCATGCTGTGACGACGCTGTCACTTAAAAAAGGTTATTTTGTGCTGGGCTTTTTTGAAGACAGTTCAAAAAGGTAGAGCGGACAAACTGGCTACTGGAGTCGGCCTAAGTCAACAATTTAGGAAGCCTTCAGGTTTTTTTTCAAAACTGTTGTAACAGTGGAAGGGAGTGGCTAGTTCTTACAGACCAGACTTTCTAGTTTGCTGTAGCAGTCAGAAGTTGTTTGGGGTCCCAAATGGGTTGATTCCTTGCTGCTACATTCTCTGAAATCACTTGATGTAGTTTCCTCCTGGATTGGAGAACTGCATGTAAGAATTTGTGTCTGAATTTACCTTTTTACTAAGGGGTGTTTTTATGGAATGTTACTATAGTGGAACAGTTAATTAGTAATAGGTACTGGATCTATTCTTCGGTTAAGTTGTCCAATAGTTAAGTTGTTCTAAATTCCTCTTTCTTTTGTTTGAATTTTAATTATATTGTTTAAATAAATTGTGTCCTGCTTAACGTCAAGTAGTTTGACCAGTTGCCTAACATCTGGAAAATGCACTTCACATCTACATTTAAAATAAGAAAAGTTAGGGTTTAGGCTACCTTCTTAAAATATTTTGAGAGGGTCTGGTCTATAACTCTATATCATTAGACTCTTCATTCCAGAATTTTTTAAAAACTGAATTCTGCTACGGCAGTGTTTGAGCTCGGGTTCCCGGGACATTATCTCAGTCAGTGCATTGACAGTCCGGCACTAATACCACTAGGGCATCACCTCCCCACAAAACGCATCATGGAACATCGGGTCATGGGAATACAGCTCTGATTTCCAAAACTTCTGAGTCCTCTATTTCAGGGCTCCTCTATTGTGAGTGATACAGCAGATACTTCTGTACTAGAAAAAAAGATTTACTCCCAACAGAAAAAACAGCAGGAGTCTAATTTTCCTCTTCCCTACACTTAATATGTAGCTCCCACCAAGTGGAATGTATCTTCAAACAATAAAAATTAGTTTATTCTTTAAATGCTTTATGTAATAACGAATTCCAAAATTTGTATTCTAAGCTTGCACATTCTTTTACATCTGCAGTTTTATTTCTAGTGGGTACCTGTGCGTTTATGTTCTTCCAGGCATAAGATAGCCCATCAACTCTCTCAGCATTTCCATCTTGGAAAAGCAACTCATGCTTACTTAGAAGGGCATACGTTTCTTCAATTGGTTCAATGGTCATGTCAATCTTTATCTGAGCATCTCTAATTTCTTTCAGTGCTGCCATGGCTCCACGCACATCATCCAAGTCATTAATTGGTCGATTCAGTTGTTTGCTGAGATTTTCAATAAAGGAATAAATCTCATCCATTTCCATGGCAGTTTTTCGGTTCAGGGCTGTGCCAAAGGCTCTCTTCCAGGAGCGGCATTCCTGCACCATTGCCAGTTTCAAATTCTGGGTGTCAAACTGAACTGAGCCCACTTTATAATGAGAGGGCAACTCATCAATCTCGGCTTCCAATTTCTAAATACAATGTGAAGTTTGATAAGTGTTAATTTCTTTTCAGAATAAAGGGTATATCAATAGATAATCCTTGAAAATAGTAATAAAACAATATTTTAAACATACAGAGTAGTAGGTAATTTGTTCATTGAATTCTGAGAGGATTGGTTTTGAATCCATGAATTCCTTCACTTTCTCTGCAGGATCCTGAATAATAAAAAAAAATACCAGAAAGTGTTTAGTAATTGACTCCACACAGGGAAAGTGACAGCATAATAGGTTCCTTTGAAACACTATATAAATCAATGTGTAGCAGTCTTAAAATACCCACAACACCAACATGAATAATGTGAAAGCAGTGAGCATTGGTCACTCTAAGATGTTCAGGTTAATCTTGGCATTGTGTAATAAATCAGGTTGGTGATATCACATTTCCATCTTTTAATGTGCACATTCCTCAAAATGTCAGGAATTTTCATGCTTTAGAATGGTTATTTTTCAGCCAATTTCTAAATGAAATTATTTCTGCTAGATTACATAAAATCAGAAGCTGATTTTCTTTTTAAAGGTAAAATACCATTGCATTACATTTTCTGTGCTTATTCTGCACCTTTTGAATAAATACTCAAGTTACCTAAATATACACAACAATAGCCATCATATCTATACATTGCAGAAATGGCCTATGCAAGCAAGTGAACTAGTACTAATTCATTAGTACAAACAGAAACTCTAGATTCAAAAACCTGATCAACAGCAAGGTATTAGATCTCAGCCAACTAGGCTGTCACCAAGTTAGTGAGAACTTGAATCAGAGATAGTAGGAACTGCAGATGCTGGAGAATCCGAGACAACAAGGTGCAGGGCTGGATGAACACAGCAGGCCAAGCAGCATCATAGGAGCAGAGAGGCTGACGTTTCAGGCCTAGACCCTTCATCAGAAAAGGGGGAGGGGAAGGGGGTTTTGAAATAAATAGGGAGAGAGTGGGAGGCGGATAGAAGAGGGATAGAGGAGAGGATAGGTGGAGAGGAAACAAACAGGTCGAAGAGGCGGGGATGGAGCCAGGAAAGGTGAGTGTAGGTAGGTCAGTCCAGGGAGGACGGACAGGTCAAGGGGGCGGGATGAGGTTGGTCGGTAGGAGATGGAGGTGCGGCTTGGGGTGGGAGGAGGGGATAGGTGGGAGGAAGAACAGGTTAGGGAGGCAGGGACGAGTTGGACTGGTTTTGGGATGCGGTGGGGGGAGGGGAGATTTTGAAACTTGTGAAATCCACATTGATACCATTGGGCTGCAGGGTTCCCAAGCGGAATATGAGTTGCTGTTCCTGCAACCTTCGGGTGGCATCGTTGTGGCACTGCAGGAGGCCCAGGATGGACATGTCGTCTGAGGAATGGGAGGGGGAGTTGAAATGGTTCGCGACTGGGAGGTGCAGTTGTTTGTTGCGAACCGAGCGTAAGTGTTCTGCAAAGCGGTCCCCGAGTCTCCGCTTGGTTTCCCCGATGTAGAGGAAGCCACACCGGGTACAGCGGATGCAGTATACCACATTGGCAGATGTGCAGGTGAACATCTGCTTGATGTGGAAAGTCTTCTTGGGGCCTGGGATGGGGGTGAGGGAGGAGGTATGGGGGCAGGTGTAGCACTTCCTGCGGTTGCAGGGAAAAGTGCCGGGTGTGGTGGAGCTGGAGGGGAGTGTGGAGCGGACAAGGGAGTCACGGAGAGAGTTGTCCCTCCGGAAAGCAGATAAAGGTGGGGAGGGAAAGATGTCTTTGGTGGTGGGGTCGGATTGCAGATGGCGGAAGTGTTGGAGGATGATGCGTTGGATCCGGAGGTTGGTGGGGTGGTACGTGAGGACGAGGGGGATTCTTTTTTGGTTCTTATTGCGTGGACGGAGTGTGAGGGATGAGGCGCGGGAGATGAGGGCGTTCTCGACCACCGAGGAGGGGAAGTTACGGTCCTTGAAAAACGAGGACAACTGAGATGTACGGGAGTGGAATGCCTCATCCTGGGAGCAGATGCGGCGGAGGCGAAGGAATTGGGAATAGGGGATAGCATTTTTGCAGGAAGGTGGGTGGGAGGAGGAGTATTCTAGGTAGCTGTGGGAGTCGGTGGGCTTGAAATGAATATCGGTTTCTAGGTGGTTGCCCGATATGGAGACAGAGAGGTCCAGGAAGGGGAGAGAGGTGTTAGAGATGGTCCAGGTAAACTTAAGGTTGGGGTGGAAGGTGTTAGTGAAGTGTATGAACTGTTCGAGCTCCTCGTGGGAGCACGAGGCGGCGCCGATACAGTCATCAATGTAACGGAGGAAGAGGTGGGGTTTAGGGCCGGTGTAGGTACGGAAGAGGGATTGTTCCACGTAACCTACAAAGAGGCAGGCGTAGCTTGGGCCTATGTGGGTACCCATGGCTACCCCCTTTGTCTGTAGGAAGTGGGAGGAATTGAAAGAGAAGTTCTTGAGTGTGAGGACGAGTTCGGCTAAGCGGATGAGAGTATCAGTGGAGGGGGACTGGTCGGGCCTGCGGGACAGGAAGAAGCGGAGGGCCTTAAGGCCATCTGCATGGGGAATGCAGGTGTAGAGGGACTGGACGTCCATGGTAAAGATGAGGTGTTGGGGACCGGGGAATTGGAAGTTCTGGAGGGGGTGGAGGGTGTGGGTGGTGTCACGGACATAGGTAGGGAGTTCCTGGACCAAGGGGGAGAAAATGGAGTCAGGTTTTATCCCATGGCAACTGCTTACTGACCCCACAGGAAATGTCGATGTGTGAGTGCAAAATCATTACATGGCCCTGATTACCATTTTAATTTTTTTAACAAAACTGACCACTCCTCCAAAATTAATGATGGAAATTAGCTGAAATAGAAAAATACTTGGAAGGAAAATTGTCTTCATTTAATGAATTAGGTAAAAATTATTTCAAACTTTGATTTGAAAACTCAACTTTTGACACCATCCATGAAAAAGCAGCCCACTTGATTGATACTCCATCCAACACCCTCAATTTTCATTCCCTCCACTTATTGATGCACTGTAGCAGCAGTGTGTACCATTGATAACATGTACTGCAATAACTCACCAAGGTTCCCTTTTAGAACTCTTTTCCCAAAATGGTGGTGGAAGAGAAGTCCTTGAATATTTGTGAGGCAAAGGTAAACAGATTCTTGTTAAGTAAAGGAATGAAAGCTTACCAGTGGTGAGTTGGATTAGACATTTGAGGTTACTATCAGACCAACCATGATCTTATTAAGTGCTTCCAATGGAGGGTCAACTAAACTTAGTATGAGTTAGCATCACTGCTAACTGATATCATCTGACTGTAACCTATGCCACTCAGAAGAATGATTAAGGCAAAAGAAGATGGCCTAAGTGGTCAAATTATGATCCAGCCGAAATAAATCTTTTTCTTTAATTCATTCATTGGCCAGCATTTATTATCCATCCCTATTGCCAGAGGACAGTTCAATTCTGAGGGGTAACCAAGTTCCCTACTACAAGGGTCCAACTGAATACTTGGGAATCTATTGCATAGGAGTTCTAAAATTTCTGCCAGTTCAGGCTGGTGTCTTCTTTGTCTGTGGCATGAACATGAAAATCAAAGTTTCATGAAAGGTCACATAAGGAGGTGTTATAAAATGCTGAGGTGGCTCTGGATGGGGAATAATTGCTAATTTTATTCTCATCAACATTATTACACAAATTCTTAATGCTTGAGTTGCAAAGACATTACCATTAGGCAAGGGCAAGATGGAGATCGTGAATGAATTGAAAGATGCAAAATGTGGAGAATATGGAATTTTTAAAATAAATATTCACTAAGTGAGCTGCTCATTTGGAAAGCTAGCACAGACACAATGGTCCAAATGGCCATGTCTGTGCTGTAAACTTTCTGTGACTCTGAGGTGGAATGCTTTGTGAAACTCTAATTAGGTTGGTATTTATGACCAATCATCAGCTCCCCCGACAACATGGTGGTAGGTGTTCATCATTCATTACAATCCTTGAGGCAAACAAGTTCTGGCAATATTATTTGGTAGAGGTTCCCAGTATTTAGTAACTGAGGAATGGTATATATGTCCAAGTCACAATGATGTGTAATTTGAAGTAACTTGGAAGTCATGGTATTCCCAAACCTATTGCCCTTTTCCTTTCAGGTGTTGGAGGTCACAGGTTTGGAAACTGCTACAAAAGCAGACATGCCAGGTTTGTGCAATCCATCCAATATATACAACACATAACAGCTGCTGGCATTGTGTGTCTAAGCACTGTTTGAGGTATCAATCAACTAGATTGCATCCAGCAATATTTAAAAAAAGACCACTTTGCGGTCAAAGCAGCTAATGTTCCAGCCTTGCTGTGTCTCATGTATACACACACACATTGATACATAAATATAAATGAGGTACAAGTTCACCTGATTCCACAAGTGAGCAAAATGAGAGAAATTGTCAAGAATCTCTGCTCCATCAGCCTTCAATGAAGAAACAATGGAACTGAGCTGGATCACAACCTTAGTGATGTCCTTGTGTTCACTGATCTGTTTATCAAGGGATTTTAGCACGACCTGCTTACCAAGGATATTATCATCACCCAGTTCTCGAGCAGCATTGTATTCAATCTACATATTGCCATGTAGAAATAAATAACAAATTAGGGCATAAAAGTTAAACTCAAATGTTAGATAAATAAGCATACTTTATCAAAGAGAAAACAATGCTTTTAAAAATTGAATTAATGAAATACCAAACCACAATGGAATTTAGTAAATACCTGTTGTTGTTTCAGATGTATATATGCAAAGGACCAAATAGGAATATCCTTCGACATGGACAAAACTGTATTCACTGCTTTATTTAGAACAGACTGCAGAAGAAAATATGAATGGAGAATAGAAAACTGATTTGCAATCTATAGATAACATAGTACGAGATTAGTTAGCAACATTTTTAATTTGATATATTTGATGTACATTACTAATCTGCGGAACATTATAATCTAATTCACAGGATTCAATATTCGTCTACGACAATTTTTGGGATATGAGACTTACTATTCACAATCTGCCGACATCAGCTTGAAATAACTTGGGAACCAAGTAAAATTTGTACATTCACCTATTTCCCTGATTGCTGCTTTGGCCACAATTGATTCCTGGTATGCATTGCACTGCTGGCACCTTGGCACACCATAAGGGGTAAGCAATATTATGAAGAACCCCAGTCCTCTAGACAGCTTTCTCTTTTTAATCCACAGTGCCTATCAAAGGAAAGTTTCAGGAAGCCAGTGTTAGGTGATGGATAATCATATTGGAGCACTGAAGGAAGAGAAGGAAGGCACAATAGACAAAACAAAGAATTCCCTGCTTTAGTGGCATTTGGACACAGTAGTCAATGAGGTAGAGATCATGAAGGTCATTTTTCTGCTGGCAAACAGGATGTTACCAAGTTTAAATCTTCATATGGTAACGTGTAGGAAAGATGGCTAAAAGCCAGACTTTCACCTCAGGACTTGGAGAAAGGTTTTAGGCCTTACATTGTTGTTCAAGGCGTGTGAATGTATCTGCATAGCACATTTCACAACTAAGAAACCAACTCTCCCTCCCATTGCTCCCAATTCACTAGAACCCATGACCCCCGCCCCCATCACTCATTCAGCAGGACTCCTGTACAGAATAGGCTAAAACTGATGATGATATTTGAAGCTGCATGACTTTGAATGGGTCCTGTGAACATTCCTGCATGTGCCGAAAACGGTACTACCAACATGATTTTCCTGTACTTGTTTTTATGTACTTGTATTTGTTACACTGTATAAGAGAGAGAATTTCATTCCGAGTCATTGGACTTCACCTTGGACTGGAATCCATACAGTGCCAGGAATGAATCTAAGCCTCCAGACCAGCCATCGATCGAGGGATCCCCGACAGGCAGAAAGGTGTGAGGCTTATTTTCTTTCCCATTCTTTTTCATTCTTTTTATGTACTTAATAAATGTTCATATTTAAGCGAATTGGTGTTGTCGAGTCTTCTCTTAACTACATTTAACCGAATCCGAAGAACCGCTTGGATACATTTTATGATCCAAGACATTTTTGGCAATGAGGATGGGATTCAGGGAAATGGTTAAGAGAAGGGAAAAGCAGCCTGGAGACATTCTGTATTCCAGGATGGAATGCAGCAGACACTGGATTTGGGTCTGTAGCTAATATGTTAGCACAATTAGGACCCGCCAAAGGATGAGTGATAGTTACAAACATAAATAGAGAGAACTGGAGGCCAGGTTTCTGCACTGTCCTAGTTTGCTGAACCTTGTAGAAGTGTTAACTCTTTGTCGTCTGGTTTGAATGCACCTTTGTCTGTTGGATGCTAAATGGTGTCTCGTACAATTTGTATGTTTTTGTTCCCTGGAGCTGACAATCTGGGGATACTTTGAAGTTAATTTGCATTTTGGGAGTGAATGATTGATTGATTGATTTTCCTATGTACTGAAGTATAGTGTAAAGCTTTGTTTACGAGCGGTACAGGCAGATCATAGTAAGCAAAGGATGTACAGATCAAAAAGACTTAGACAGAGGCGTACAGGTTACATTGCACAGGATGTGCACTGGGTGAGATCAACATTAGCAAAATCAGCATTATTTGAGGCTAGAGATTCCATTAAGCAGTCTAATAACGGTCAGGAAGAAGCTGTTCCTGATCCTGCTGGTGCGTGTGTTCAGGCTTCTGTATCTTCTGCCTAAAAGAAGAGGTTGTATGAGATCATTACCAGAATGCGATTGGTTTTTCATGATTTGAAAGTGTGCTGGGTGCCTGTATCAGTGTGGAACATGTATGGTTAATGTAACATTCTTTTAAGAAACCATCAGAGGTTGTGCAAAGCAAAAATCTGTGATGAAATGTTGATTCAAAAATTTGGTTCATAAAGCTTGGTAAAAATTTACCTTTTGGAATTGGATCCCTGCTGTGTTTGGACTGAGGAAAGAATCTCGAGTAAATTTTAATCCTAGAAATTACCATGTTTGGACCTTTATTTTCCGGCCAGAGTGAACTTCGAAATATTGTTTTAACAGGAGTGAATCTTTAATTCTGGAAGATAAGATTAGCTCATTGTAAATGTACTTTGGAGTAAAACTAAAGTGATAGAGAAATTGGGATGCTGAAAATGCAATGCTCTGTGGGCAAGGTGTTTAATGAAGGAGAATTTAACAAAAGGAGGTGGGCTTTTCCTTTGTTAATTATAACACGCTTATTTCCTTACAGGAGGAAGAGAGACAGTTCACGTAATTACATGTAGGAGGTTACGCCCCACCCCTCTTTTTGAATCTGTATTAGATTAATACTAATTAACCCATTCTGCTTGACATGGAATGGATGGAAGTTGCTTGTTTTTTCTTAGAAATTGGAGACACTGAATGCTGACCCTGTTTGCAGACTTTCAACATTACAACACAGTGATGGATGAAGCACTCGCAACTCATTAAGCCATTCATCAATAACACATTTCAATGTTGGGACAGAACTGTGAAAACATTAAATGTATTTGAGTATCAGGAATCTCAAAACCACTGAGCCTGGGTACACTTCAGCATATCATGACAAAAACTATAATAAGACTCACATTCCCTGGTATTCCAAAACATTTAAATGGAATAGTTACCTGAAATTTTAAAGGGATTCTAGGAAATGATTAAGTACATACACACAGTCTCAGTGGTTACAATGCATAAAAAAAGGTTTGTGACTTTGAAGGAGTAAATAGTATATTGAATTTGGACAAATTTACATACAGATATATCAAATATCTAGAATTACTAACTTTAAAAAAAGTAGGTCATCTTAGAGAAAGAACAAAGAAAGTACATTTTGTCTGAATCAAACAGAAATGATTGACTTCTATTTTAAAATATTATAAGATTATGTTCCATGGACTACAAATCTCTCCAGATGTCTGGAATTAGATAGATGGTAATAGTTAAGCTGCAAAATTGCATGAGATGAAGTAATTAAGCGTGGAGACTGGTGGCAGAAGACAAAAAAATTAGGAAAATAGGTTGAAACAGCAATTGAGGTGAAAACACATCCTAGTGAAAAGGACGTTTAGATGAGAGCACTAAACTGATAGCTTTCTGTTGGTGATGTTTGTGTGAACTTTTTAAGAAAGACTGAATTGGTAATCAAGTCACGACCCAAGGCATTGGGTCCATATGCGGAGAGATAAATAAAACCCTCATAGATCATTTCATAAGATTATATGGGAGTCAGGAATGCGTGACATGTTCTTGAGATACCAATGTAAGTGCGCAAAAGTGAATGTTACCTCAGAGGTAAGAAACCTGAGGCAATACATGGCAAAAAAAAAGAACTGCACTGAAGAATGGGTCTCAGATACGTACATCCACTTGACAAAAGAATTAGAGTGGCCTTGAAGAGGACAAAAAAATAGTTTAAATGATAAGACAATGACACACAATCCATAGAGAAACTGACTTTAAAACAATGAGAATAGTATTAGTGAAAGGGATGTAAAAAGAATTACAACCAAAATACAAAGTATGATTGGCTATCATGTCAAAATGTTACAGAAATTAAAGAATATGGACTTTGGGAGAAGTAACAGTGGAATGAGTGAAAAGGCCCATTGCATGACATTCAGATACCCCATCTTGGGCATTTGTATGATGCATGAATGTTTAAACCAGTAGGTGCAATTGTAATGCATTAGGACAGTTAGGGTATGTGAGGCAAGGTTGAGCTAAGGCTCAGGTGGTCTAGGAATCTATAGTAAGGGAGCCCCGGGGAAAGTAAAAGGTGGGAAGCATAAGTTGAAGGGCAAGCCTGATATATGTTAGAGCTGTATTGTTTGATCCCATGTATATTGTAGCTCAAAGAGGGTACTTGCATATGGAGGTACTTACCACTCAATGATACAATCAGTTATAAAATTGACAAGGAGGGAAACATAGTGAAGAAGTATCCTCAAGACAGATACAGATGAAGAGAGCTGGAAAAAATTTGAGTCCATGTATAATGTTATTTTACTGTTAATTGGCGAGGTGATGGACAGTCAGCGAGCCAAATGGGAAGCCGCACTGTTGCCAGGAGAAAAGCACATTGAAGTGGTTAAAGACAATACAGAGAACCCAGCAAGCTACGTGAATCAGGAAGGAGAGACACATGATTGTATCCCCTCATGGAGCAGGAAGAAGAGAGACAGGATCGAGTTAAGGAAGAGCCATTAGAGGGACCAGATGTGAAATGCATGTCTGTAGATGGGGTGCAAAAGTATAATGATGGTGAGGCCCAGACTGGGTGGGCCATGGATAATTTTTAAGGGGGACTTTTGGCAGGAGAGACAATAGAAGGATGTCACAACACCCAGGTAACCGAACTAAAAGCATTGAACTAAAAGCACTTACTAGTGCCCTCTAGCTAGGAAAAGGACAAAGAGTTAACATCTACACAGATAGTAAAGATGCCTTTGGTGAAGCTCATGACTACATGATAGCATGGGCAAGATGACGCAATATTACATTGAGTGGTAGTACAATTCAACAAGGGACTCTAGTCACGTAGCCAGTGGCAGCAGTAATTAAAATTAAAGTGCACAGAAAGATCCAAATGTCAGAACAGAAAGGAATCGACTAACAGCCAGCTAGTCTGGCACTCCCTCTCTCTTCTCTCTCCCTCTTGCAGATTTTAAGGACCCTCAGCAGGAACAGGATCCTTGGTCCCAATACGGGAGCTGGAATAAATTAAGGTCACATGTAAATATGTGTGATGCAGTTGCATGGCAACTACAGTTAAGGATATACTGCTCTTAGTGTAAGTATGAAAATGCTAATCATCCATGGGCTCCTCTCAACTT